GTCCAACTCGAGTGGTGACTATCATACAATGCCCATCATTCTTCAGATTCTGGATTGTGTTTCTATGAAGTGTGCCAGACTGACGTGGGTTCATTGTAGTAGACATTTTTTTAAAAAATTTTTGTTAGTTCATGTAACAATAATAATTAAATTTCATCTCAATTAAAAATGTGGTTCCACATCTTTTTGAGATATTTAAGAAACTCAAGGATGCGGTTACGCACCTTGGCCAAATTCAAGGATGCGGTTACGCACCTTAGTCAAATTATTTTAATAATTAAACTTCCATTAATTCAAATCAAGAGATGTAAATATGAATTATTAGGTGTGAGGTACTCGAGAGGAAAATGCAGTTATGCCTCTAAATGTCAAGACCAAGAATGCGGTTACGCATCTAGGTTGAGACCAAGTATAAGTTCAACAAATTAAAAATGCGAGCAAATCATGGCCTATAAAAATATATCCAAAAGATAGTTAAAATAAGTATAAATTAATAAAAGCGACCGTGCTAGAACCACGGGGCTCGAGGGATGCCTAATACCTTTCCATCGATCAACAGAATTCCTTACCTGAATTTCTAGTTCGCAGACCATATAAAGAGTCATTTCCTTTTGATTAGGGATTAAACAAAAAGGTGACTTGGAACACCATAACTCAATTCCAAGTGGCGACTTTGAAAAATAAAATAATTCTTAATCAATAACATCACTTAAATTGGAAAAATCCTACATCCGCCGTGCACGAAAAAGAGGTGTGACACCCAAACAATATATGATACAGTAATAGTATCATATAATAAAGTATATAAAGACATTAACAAATACCTGGTACCCAAATAACATATGATAGTTGAATAATATAATAAAGTAACAAAAACAACAAACACTAAAATGTTCAAATCCACAAAAGATCAACTAATCGAAAGAGGATAAGCATACCGTGTGCAAAAATAATCAATGATACCATAACAATATCTTCATATAATGTTATGGCATGATACAAAAACACATGCATGGTATAAACTTAATATTTGATACCATTACGCATGCATGATACCAACATAACATCTGGTACTGTAATAGTATAATCAAATAGAACCAACACATGATACCTAAACAATATATGATAATAATATCAACATCTAGCAAGTCAATTTTTCAAATTAATTTATCAAAATAATAGCATGATATAAGAATGATACCTTCAAACAAGAATACTAATCAATTTCTTCTTCAAGGGTCCATCGATATTTTCAGTTTCAGTTTGGGAAAACGACTCATAATTGGATTGCAAGGAGTACCTTGTTTTTTATGCAATTGTATCATCACAAACCATGTGTGTCTTCCCTTTCCTCTTCAATTAATCCCCGATTCCGTCACCCGTAACATCAGAATTTTGATCAGGCCTGTCAACATCCACAATTGAATTGTGGTTAGTTCAAGCATTAACATCTCCATGATCGAATCTGTCATTTAAGCCGACATTATCTTCTTTGTTTTCATCCTCCAAATCAAGAGAAAAACTTGACCCAAACATGCTAGAAACTTTCGACTCTTGGTCACCTATATTATCATTATCACTAGCATTGTCAACAGAATTTGCATAAATAGAACGATGACCCCACCAACAACTAGTTGCTACATTTTTACGATCCACTGAAAACAATTTGAAAAATCAAGCAAAAAACGACAGAGAAACAAAAATTGATTCAAAATTAAGTTTATTGAAAAACAAAATTGAATATAAGTGGAATAAAGGAAAAACTACCACATACAAAGCTGAGTAAATTGGACTGACAATGGCAGAATAAAATCACCAAGATGAAGAAAGAAACTGCAAATGACGGTAGAACCGCTTGTAGTTAAAATCGCCGTATGTTGCTCCACATAGTTTAACGTGGGTACGACGGTTGGACGATAAATCGGATGGGCTTGAATAAGAAAGTGGGTCGAACGGTTGGGTTATAAACTGGGTGGGTTTGAATAAGAAATTAAAGTGGCTCGGAATGAGGGGGGGGGGAGGTATGGGTTGTAATTATTTATAAGAGAGTGGGTATATTAGGAATTAGTTTAGATTTTATGGCTCATTTATGTAGTTTCCCCAAAGAAAGGAAAACAAGTACTCCCTCCTTCGTCCAATAATAGTTGTCCACTATACTATTTTTAAATATCCAACAATACTTATCCACTTTATAAAATCAATGGATAATTTTTACACTTAGTCCTTAATTTACCCTTATCATTAATTATAGTCATTTCCATATTACATTTTTTAAGACATTATATTTATTATATTCAAAGTGTGATATAATAAAATTACCCTTCTATTTATAGTTTCTTAAATGGTGGACAAATATTGTTGGAGAGAGGGAGATTTCCTTTGTTTCATTTTATTTGATTCTTATATTGAAAATAATATTTTTATTTTATTTATTCACTAGTAAAAATTACCCTTACAGAATTTTAAAATAATACTTAAAATCTATCGATCAATAAAACTAAAACACTATATTATCTCACATACAAGATTATGTAGTAACAAACATTAATAATGTAAAGAAAAATGAAAATTATTACATCTTATCATTTATCTTTAATAGCATAAACATAAATTAATGACCATAAAAATACATACCAGGATCTGTAACATAAACAATGGTGTTAGTGAGCCACTCAACAGGAGCTAAGCACACAAATATTTAATTGTGAAGAAGAAGAAGAGGTTCAGAATTTTTGTTGTTCTAAAATGAGAGGAAATCCCTCTATTTATAGAAAACAAAGAGTTGTGTGAACAAATATTTATTGTGCCTTATCGGAAATGTTACAACTATTTGGAAAAGTTGCAACCCTTCGAAAAGGTCACAACCTTTCATAAAAGTCACAACTTTTCATAAAAGTCGCAACTCTTCATTAAAGTTGCAACTTTTCATAAAAGTCACAACTCTTTATAAAAGTCACAACTCTTCATTAAAGTCACAACTTTTCGTTAAAGTTGCAACATTTCATAAATGTCACAACTTTTCATTAAAGGGGAATACTAGTTTTGGAAATAAATAAATCATATCATATATATATATATATATATAAAAGAGAATCCTAGGCCCGCCTACGTGGCGCCATCACAAATAAGGATTCCTTTTTAATTTATTTATTTCCAAAATTAGCCTTCCCTTTCATGAAAAATTGTGATTGTTATTAAAAGTTGTGACTTTTATGAAAAATTGTGACTTTTATGAAGAGTTGCAACTTTTATGAAATGTTGACTTTTATGAAAAGTTGTGACTTCTATGAAATGTTGACTTTTATGAAGAGTTGCGACTTTTATTAAAAGTTGTGACTTTTATGAAAAGTTATGACTTTTATGAAGAGTTGCGACTTTTATGAAATGTTGTAATTTTATGAAAGGTTGTGACCTTTTCGGTAAGGCACAATAAAAATTTGTTCACACTACCCTTTGTTGTATATAAATAGAGGGGTTCCCTCTCATTTTAAAACAACGAAAATTCTGAACTTCTTCTTATTCTTCTGCACAATTAAATATTTGATTATGAACTTCTTCTTCTTCTACACAATTAAATATTATGTACTTTGCTCATGTTGAGTGACTCACTGACACTATTGTTTTTGTATTATTACACTGGTGAATAAAATCGTTTCATCATGAGATGATCTATTTCTTTAAACCTCAGGTACTAGAGGAGAATGATTTCCTTAAGGAAACACTGTGCATTCAATGAGCTCAATTTTTCCATTTTGTTTCATTCTATTGTTACAGATCCTGGTATTTTTTTTTACAGTCATTAATTTATGCTTATGATATTAATTGTTGTTTTTGAATACATGTTTTAAACTTTGTTGTTTATGTTTCTTTAAAGTTATTGTTATAAGTATTTGTTAGTACAGACTCTATGTAAATCCAACTATTGCAGATTCACAAATAACTTTTTACATAATACATTTCTTTACAACATTCTCCAAAGATATCTATGCTTCTCCAAAAGATCAAGCCTAGAAATTTATATGATTTTTTGTTGTTGTCATAATAATGTTAATATTAACAGGAGTAAAAAAAAAAAGAAACTCAAATGATAGAACTAAAACTAGCAATTAATTACAATTGTATGATACGCAATAATGACTATTCTCTCGCACCAAAGTTACTCTTTTGAACTTTTTTTCCATTATCTCTTACTTCTCTTTCACCCTTTTCAAGGATCCTTAATATTTTGTTCGTAAACACCTTCAATTCCCAAACACCATCATAACTATATTATTACATATGAAATTTGAATTTTGGAAGATTGCATTTTAATTTTAAAACACATAATGACTACATATTACTTATTAATATATCATCTAATTATGGAACCTTTGCTCTTGATAAACTCATTGGTTATATAAATATTTAATTTTGAAAGTAATTGATAGTGTTATACTAATGGAATTTGCAAAGAAGAAAATTGAGAAAAATATTTATTTGACTCTCTAATTAAAGACACTATGTATCCATGCATATAGATGGTAAAACTAAACTAACCATTGTAAAATTTCAAAAGTAAATTAATGAATCTGTAAAATGAAATTATGTAAACTAGGAGAAAATAATGTTATGATTTGTAATTTTGCCTTTTCTTTTAATAAAATAAATGGTAAACTACAATTGAATAACCTCTATACTCTTGAAAATTTATTAATATAAAAATGTTATAACATCAAAATACAAGAAAAGTTCTATTCTAATAAATTTTAAAGAAAAATAATCTAACCGCGTGAAGCGTGGGCCCATTTACTAGTTAAAAGAGAATTTTGATTTGTGGTGGCGCCACGTAGGCGATCCTAAAGTTCTCTTTTATTTATATAAATATATGATTTAAGCAAATCAAAATTCCCCCTTACAATATCCATAGTATTAAATAACTAAATAAACTAGTAATAGTAATCAAATTGAAAATTCAAAAATAAAGTTAATTTGACAAAATATACCTTTCTTGAAAAATCTGTGTGAATAGAGGCAAAAGAATAGTCCATGTAGATTCGGGCCTGCTCAAGGGTCAGTGAATGGGTTTTTCAGGCATAGCCACTCTCACTCGTCACTATGCTTTCTGCTACTCTGTATCAGTATCATCATTCTCATCTTCACTCATTCACATTACTCCTTCAACAAAGCTACTCACCAGAAAACTCTCTATTCCCATCAGAATGTCTTCTACAAATCCCAATGTCAAGAAACACATAGCACCCTATGGTTCTTGGAAGTCGCCCATCACCGCTGATATCGTTTCTGGATCCACTAAACGCCTCGGTGGCTTTTCGGTTGATTCACTTGGTCATCTTTTCTGGCTAGAATCTCGACCTACAGAATCCGGGTACAGTACATATGAAGCCTCAAAACCCCTAATCATTGTCATATCCTTTAGTGGGTTTTATCTAAAAGTTTAAATTATTAATTCTTGTGCATTCATATGAAATCATGTTTACTAACTTCATATTTAAACCCGAAACCCCATAAATATTGTGATGTTTCTTTGTTTGTTTTTTGTAATTTGCGTTTTGATATCTTGTGTATTCATAATTTTCCTATGAAAGCTGTATTTACTGTCTTAATGTTTAAACCCCAAAGCTCATAATGATTGTGATATTTTTTGAGGATTATGTTTAGTTTGATTTTCTGATTCATATGCATTCCTAATTTGCCTATGAACACCACACTAGCTCCACCAAGAGGTGTGGTGAGATAGAGCCATAGAGGAGATTCCTCCACCCTTAATCAGAGGTCTGGGTCTGGGGTTCGAGCAATTCGAGCCTTGGGAATGGAGTAATCATGGGTGAGGAGTGGCACATGCTTCCCCTTTAATGGACCAATCATGAATACAGATTAATCAGACCAGTGGGTTATGTAAATTGATGGTTAAACCAAAAAAAAATTAGTTTTTGCACCTAAGGGTGTCACCTAGACCTAGTGGTCAATGAAGTGGTTGAGAATCCTGAGGTCTCAGGTTTAAAACTCTACGGAGACAAAAAAACACTAGGTTATTCTTACCATCTGTCCTAGCCTTGGTGGACAACGTTAGCTGGTACCTGTTGTTGGTGGGAGGTGACAGGTATCCTATGGAATTAGTTGAGCTGCACGAAAGCTGGCCCGGACACCTCGGTCATAAAAAAAAAGTTAGTTTGCCTATGAAACTCATGTTTATGGATTTGTGTTCAAACCAAAAAGATTGTAAAATTTTCTCATGGATTTTACTGTCATGTTTGAATATTTATTGTTATGCATTCTTGATTTGCATTTGAAACTCATGTTTCCTGTCTTCGCTCTTAAATCCAAAAACACATAGACATTTTGATGTTTTCTTGAGGAGGTTTTATGTTGAGTTTGAAAGCTTATTCATATGCCTTCATAAGTTGCATTTGAAACACATGTTTACTTTCGTCATGTGTAAACCCCAAAACCCATAAAGATTGTGATATTCTCCTTCTGGATTTCATGTAAAGTTTGAATTTTTGATTGTTCCACTATCATAGTTTGCATGTAAACTCATGTTTACTGTCTTCGTGTTTAAACCCCAAAACCCATAAAGTTTGTGATATATTTTTGTGGATTCTGTGTGAAGTTTGAGTTTTTTTTATTGTTATGGATTCAGACGAGCGGTTATTGTGAAGGAACCAGGGAAACCAGGGGAAGACCCTATAGATGTAACTCCTAAAGATTTTGCTGTGAGGACGTTGGCTCAGGAGTATGGTGGTGGTGATTTTTGTATACAAGGAGACATTTTGATCTTCTCTAATTACAAGGATCAGAGACTTTATAAACAGTCCATTTCGTCCATAGGTCTTCATTTTCCTTTGTTTTCTATGTCATTGAATGCAGTTGAATATAATTGCTTCCAGTTTTACTATTTTGTAGTATATTTAATATAAGCTTCGATGGAGAGACAATTTTGTTTATGTACATATTTGGGTTTATTAGCAGCCGCTCGTTTACAAATGTGCCATATTTAATCTGTCCGTTTTTATGGTTATTGTTGAATTGAAATAACCAGAAAAGAAAAAAGAAACTGTCTCGCAGGTAGCAAGTTGGTTCATATTAATTTTGGAAGTTTGAAGCTCTTTCATTTTAGCATATAGTTCATCATATACTATTTGCATACCAATAGCATTAGTACTAGTCTCGTAGTTTCTTGTCCTTCGATTTATGTTGCAGCCTATTGTTTCTTTGCTTTGGTTATGGCATTATTTTGTTGTTGCTGTTCCTTTATCTGAATGCCATGTGATGATTTCTCTATTATATTCTATGTCTGCTTTACTTCTGTAAATTTTTCAAAAAACTTTAAACTGCTTTGATATGTGTTACTTGAACCGAGAGTTTTTTTTGTAAGCAGCCTCCCTACCTTGTAAGGTTGGGGTAAGGTCGCGTACATTCTACCCTCCCCAGACCCCACCCATGGGATTACACCCGGTATGTTGTTGTTGTTGTTTCATCATATTTATTATCAATATTTTTGAGATGTTTCTTTCCAATTGATCCTTGTTATTTTGGTACTAGATTCTGCTCCGTTGCCCCTCACTCCAGATTATGGCGGACGGAGTGTATGCTATGCTGATGGAGTGTTTGACTCTCGCTTTAACCGTTATGTGACAGTGAGAGAAGGTAAGTTCTCTATATTCATTATCCTTCAAAATTTTAGCTTGATTCTCTGAGAAATTTTATCCTATTCCTTGCTCCTTCTGTAGATCAACGTGAAAGTGGTATAAATGCGATTACCACAATTGTGTCTATCGATCTGAGCAGTAACAGCGATCAAGGTGAGAATCTGTCAGTATTGGTTTACCATGATTCAATGTGAATTTTCTTTGCTTTTACATCTGTTTCTCGGTGATGGGCTAGAAAACTGTCAACAAATGTTTGTACATTATGAAGGGCTATTCAATTGTTTTCGTATTGCCCCTCCCCTTCCTAGGCAATATTTGGTGGACTGTACAATGAGTGAATTTCTGATCTTAATTTTTTTTTTTTTTTTGCTTGTTTGGCACATAAATGCAGAACCAAGGCTGTTAATTGGGGGGAATGACTTTTATGCTTCTCCTCGGATTGACCCCAAAGGGGACCGTATGGCATGGATTGAATGGGGTCACCCAAATATGCCATGGGACAGATCAGAGCTTTGGGTTGGTTATATATCAGAAAATGGGTACGGCCATAAT